AGAATAGGCATAGTAGAAGAAATACAAATTAAAAGAAGTTTCTCAAAAGCATCTATAGTCAGACATCTCTATAATCATATCTCATATAGTCATATCTCTATTTAAGCACTCTATTTTGTATAATAGATTTAAAATATAGAATTTTATCATTTATCGCACCTGCGTTGTAACGCACCCATAAAATCCGGTGTAATGTAAAATCAAAACAAACAAACAACGCATTAATTTAGAGTAAGGGTTAGTACTAATATAGGGTTAGTTTGGATTGTAAGTATATGTCAGTTATACCCAAAATTTTGCAAGGAATTTTTTTTGTTAGAACACAAAGGGTGGTTTCATAAGCCAACTTATGAGCTACAAGCGATTTTTTCAAAACATCGCTATTTTTTTGATTTTACATTACACTTGATCTTACAATCTGATTGGTCGATCAGGTGGGTGCATTACAACACAAGTGCAGTAAATTATATAACCCTAAAATATAATACAAAAGCTCATTATAATCATAAATCTTTTATAATTAATATTATCTTAAAATTTAATTTTAAAATCAAATTTATTAATAAAAAAACCTCTTTATAAGGTCACACAAATTTAATATATTGGTTTTTATAATATGAAACTTTTAAACAGACCTAGCCAGCCAGCTTTTTTTTTAAATTTTATATATAAAAATTATAAAATTTTTTAAAATTTTTTTAAAATTTTTTTTTAAAATACCCATCCAATTATTAAAATAGAATTTTAGTAACTATAACCGGTGGTGATAATCATCATAACACAAACAATATAAACATGTCATCATATAATATAAAGTCAAAATATACTACAATGCCTATTGGCTTCGCTTTGCTTTTTATACTATATAAAGTTCTATAATATATATCGTCAATAAGCACCCTAACCCTAATGTTTTAGACAATATATTATTAATAAGCACCCAACTAGCATCTCAGAAAATAATATATAATGAAAACTACAACGCTACGCTTCGCTTGTCGGCTCCACTTTGCTTTTTATACTACAGTCTTATAATATATCACATAATTAATAAGCACCCTAACCCTAATATCTTAAGTGACATATTATTAATAAGCTCCCTAACCCTAAAGTCTCAGGCGGCACAATATTTTTAATAAGCAGCCTAACCCTAATGTTTCAAATAAAGTATTTTTTTTCTCCGTAGTGCTCATACCCAAACAATAGTATTAATAAGACTTTTTTGCTTAAATTAAAGCTTGGGTTAGAAAAAAATTATATAACAGATTTGAGCTCTATTTATGATGTTATAATTAACTAAAATAAAGTCATAATACTTTTACAAGATAAACATGTATTATACGTAATTAGTAAATTGCAAATTTGATTTCTAAATTATATACTTAACATGACTTATTACAACTTCTAGCATTATGACCAGATTCACCACATATTTGACATATATATTTATGTTTGACACCATCATTAGCATTTGCTATTGCAGATTCAGTTGAAGAACTTTTATTTGTGTTATATAACTCATTAACGTTAATTGATTTAAGAGGAACTCTCGATATAGATTTACTATCTAAAGGTTCCATTAATTTTACGTAAGAATTATGATCAGGTATATTTTGCACACTTTTTTTAGCTTTGCTATAATGTGTGCTTATCTCTGACGATGCTTTGATTCGTTTTGTTGGTGGTCGCCCACGCCGTTTGTGAACTATAGGATCTGCTACATCTATATATATTTGTTCTTGATTTGATTCATTAGTAGCATGTTTCTTACGATCAATAAAATGATCAATCATATTGATTAACTCATCTACACATTCCAAATCAAGTGCGATGTTCAATGCCTTCTTTATTTTTCCGAATCCATGTGCATATTTGACCTTTCTTTGAATACATTGTTGCTTTTCAATCGTGAATATATGCGGCACTCTAAGCCGGTTTAAAATACTAAAATCATTTGCTATATGATCGTTATTATCAATCTTCTGAAATTGTGTTACTACTAGTGATGCCGTAGAATCGTCCCAATGAATTTTCTGATTTACAACCAGTCACGACTGCGGTTATGTCAAAAACCGCATGGGTCCCATTGTGCGCATTAATAATATGTTACGTAACATTAGTAAGTGACGTAACTTTAGTTGATATCGTAACTTCAGCTAATATCGCAACTTCAATTAAAGAGCGGAACTTTTAATATAGCGGAACTTTTAATAAAGCCCCACTGAAATTAATTGATCTATAAATTATATATAAATATTTGCGTATTGTAATAACTACGTCATAAAAATATTATAAA